AAATTGAAGAAAAGATGAAGAAAAACGGTACTGGTTTGGACTGTGCAAAGAAGGCCTACTGACTACCCGATTAGAAGATTGCGACTATGGGACAGAGGTCAAGGGCCGAAGGGTAGAGGAAGACCTAGGAAAACTTTGGAAGAGACTCTAAAGAAAGACTTGGTACTTGGATCTACGGAGACATGACACAGGATCAGCCAGCGAAGATCAATTGGTTCTAGTGATTTCATTTTCCAAGTCCCATCTGGTTTTCCTCACTCGGGACTTGGGTCTTTCTTCCTACATGCTCATCAAAAGCTTCAACATACAAGCTTCAACAAAAAGAAAATTCAAAGAACTTAAGCGAAGAAGGCTTGGGTGTATTAACAACAATACGTGAAATGAAGAAGCTTATTATTGAATCCCCGATCAGCTACAATAATGTACATATACAGAGTCAAATAACAACAAAGAACGAGCCTTCACAAAGTTGCTTAGGAATCTCAGCGCGTAAAGCCGGACGAAAGGCACCGGAGGGGATATTTGAGCCTCAAGTACTCTGGAACAGCCCTAGAAGGATGAGGATCAGAGGTTGATCATTCGGAGCTTCATTACGCGTACAGCCCGGAAGACGAAGCAATAATCACCTTTGGAACAAACCCCACAAATCTGTGATCAAGTAAACCTGACCTACAGTTCCCTCATCTGGTCAGCCTTCCTCTTCATGTTTGTAGCATAGTCATGTCGAGCCGGTCAACTGTTTATTCTCATGCTTGAGCCCTCTTAATCTCTGTTTGAGAACTCATCACTTCAGCCGCCGAGGATTCCAACTGGGGGTCGACAAATAGCGTTGGCATATTAAACACAGACCTGCACACTGAAAAAGACCGAGACCAGATCCTTAACAGCTAACTCATCAGACCGTTGGAGTAGTCTTTATCTTTGGGAGTGAGAATTTCCTGTAAGCCACCCCGCAGCGTCATATCATTCTTCATCACGGAATCCCAACGGTAAGAGACCAGTAGGGAGACGAAAGGATGGGCGGCCAATAATGTTGTCGGAGAAGGCGGGCTGCTCTCAACAGTTCAAGTCAAACGACGGTCGGGGCAGACATTTCAAAGGTGTTAGAGAAAGAGCGACAATCAGACAAATGCAAGTGAAGCTTCTACTGTGGAGATTCCAGTGTTCTAGGAACTTTGTAGACTAATAAAAATCTGCACTCGACGAGCTGAATCGAGAGCGCTGTCAGAAAAATTTGCACTCCTGTGTGGTCGAAGCAACATTCAGAAATCAGAGCGTTTGCTTCTAAAAGTTGGCTTCTCAAAAAGCCTTAACTCTAAATAAAGTCGCTTCTTGTTTAGAGAGAACGGGGCATTCAGATGAAGAGATATTTCCACACTTGTCAGCACCGTCACACGCAACTCATTTCCAGAAATATAGCATAGACTTCTCATAGAAAACACCAATCTATGTCAATCACCCACTTACACGAACAATATCATGTACACGATACTCGGCCAAAGTTCTTGAATTGAAACGTGAAGCAAAGCTCCACTACATCGTCTGAACCAAGAAGGTAAGGAGAATCCTACAAGTTTAGCCCAAAATAGAAGGTCTACTCCAATAATTATATACAATGAAAGACATACTATTGCTGGAGTTGGAATTCCCTGTGGAAACCCGTCTATTTAGAAACTACCTTTCGCTTTTACACTATGGATCTTGCTCCAAAATCGAGAGCGTCCTCCGTCCGAGAGGGAAGTGCTTTTTATAAAATCGAAAGAGAGGAAAGGAACAGTAAGGGATTGGAAATCCTGGGTCAACCTCTTGCTTCATGCAAGGTAGACTAGCACATGCCCAACCTTCTCACAATTCGAGAACCACCACAGATTGCTTGGCCAAAAGTGAGCACCGCCTCAAATTGGAGAAGCAAGTGTTTAAACTCGAAGAGACTGCTCCCCGAATCCCTCAGAGCCAACCCTAGCATGTTCTTTCTCAAAATCGATGAGGCATCTTCTCAGAATCCAAATCGAAGAGGCCTAGCTTGAAAAGTGGGCTGCTCAGAGACCGACGAGGGCCGATCTCAGAAATCGAAGAGGCACCCTTTTCTGCCTTGTCGGCTGTCACCACGCACACTCACTTGAGAAATTATGGTTTTACGATTTTTAAAAGCCAATGAACTTACTGTTCAATCACCCACTTCCCCACACGCACATAGACTGACCAGTCTTAAGCAAAGTGCGCAAGGAGCCACAGTGGGCTTTGCAGCTCCCACTAATCGCTCTGACCAAGAATAACGAATAGCAAAAACAGCACTAACAAAGTTTAGAACTAAAGAAGGCTAGCTACCATTTATTACCACAAGGTAAAGGAACAGTCCACTGTGAAATAGCCGATCAACCTCTGTGCTCGTGCAAGGAGACTAGCTGCCCAACCTTAACCATTCAAACCTCCCAACAAGATTGCTTGCTCCAAAATCGAAGAGGCACCGTCCCTCCGAAATCCTCGAGAGCCAGACTTTCCAACATCTACTTTCTCAAAAGCGAAGAGGGGTAAAGGAACAGTATCCATTGCTGGATAATTGGAAAAGTCTCTGTGTGTCAACCTTTGTGCCTTCGTGCAGTAGACTAGCAAACATGCTAACCTTTACTTCACATTCCGAGAAACACTCCCAACAGGATTGCTTGCTCCAAAATCGAAGAGGCACCGCCCTCCGAATCTCGAGAGCCAGACTTCCCAACTAATGATTACTTCCTTCAAAATCGAAGAGAACACTGCCTACGAATCTCGAGAGCCAGACCCCCAGCATGATCTGCAAACATTTCTCAAAAATCCGAAGAGGCTCGTTCTCCGAATCTCGAGAGGGTAAAAAGATACCAATACCACAGACCATTTTCAAGTGCTCTGACAGAGTTAACATGTGATTTGCTTGCTCCAAAATCGAAGAGGCACCGCCCTCCGAATCTCGAGAGCCAGACTCCCAACATGACTTCCTCAAAAATCGAAGAGACACTGCTCTACGAATCTCGAGAGCCAGACCCCCAGCATGATTGCTTTCTCAAAAATCGAAAAGGCATCGTTCTCCGAATCTCGAGAGCCAGATACCACAGACCACTTTTTCAAAGTGCTCTGACAGAGTTAAAACATGTGAAACTGGCAGCTCCCACTACCGTGCTATGACCAAGCAGGGTAAAGGAATAGCATTACTACTTGTTGTTAGGGAGACTCCTATATATGTCGACCTCCATCCCCAACGGACAGGCAGACCTGCAAAAATGCTCAACCTTTCATCATATCTGAGAGGGCACTCCCAACGAAGCCTTTCGAAATATTCAGCTTTCTTTCCCCCCGATAATACCTCTGCAAACAAGCTATACTAGAGCAAGAATATCTCATATCATCAGGGTTAAAAGCAAGAGTATCCCATATCATGCTTTTTCCCTGTCTTTTCCTTTGGCCTTGTTTTTACCTGCAAGACAAGGAGAAAGAGAGCAATCAGTCAGCACTTGGATCAAGCTTCCAGCCAGGAACTGACTGCCTGGAACCCCTTACCTGATTACTTACCTGGCATTGCTCTCGAGTACTCATCTTCAACATCTTATGTTTCCAGGGAAGATTCCGCATCTGCTTGAGGAACAGATAGGGCAAGTGCGAAGGATACAAGGAAGCATGTGGAGACAAGCGTAACAGCACACGTGCCGATACATCCATTACTCTGTCAAAAGCAAAAGTATCCCATATCAGCAGGGTGGAACGTACTCTAGATTTGATGGACTTGTTTTGACCCTCAAATTCTTCAGTCGGCCTTATACTCTGGAGGAAACCAGAAAACCCTCCAGCTCAGTTCAAGAATAAGCCTGTGGAAAGTTACTTCTTCAAAAGCAAAAGTATCTCATATCATCTCTTCTCATTTTTCTTCTCTTTATCCTTCATGCTGCTGCAAGATGGGGAGAAGGTGAACAATCAGTCGGAGCTCTGATTGCTTACCTTGTCTGTCACCTCTTTCAGCAGACCCCCTAGCTCGGCGACTTGGGGGACTCCTACTACATGGTTTGTATCGCGCTTGACCAAGCCTGAGAACTACAAGTAAGCTTCAAGTGAAATTGATACATTACCTTGTGCATCTCCACCAGTTAAAGATACCACCCCTGGATGGAGGAAGAGTACTTCCAGAGAAGATGCCACATCTACCTATGAGACAGATAAGGCAAGTCAAGACGACACCACACTCCGATACTTAGAAGTTTCGTGATTACGAGATCATTCTCCCCACAATATTTCCTAATGTCATTTGTACTAAATCATTCACTTGTACTCACTAAAGGAGAGCTTGAACCTATGTACTTGTGTGTAAACCCTTCACAATTAATGAGAACTCTTCTATTCCGTGGACGTAGCCAATCTGGGTGAACCACGTACATCTTGTGTTTGCTTTCCTATCTCTATCCATTTATATATACTTATCCACACTAATGACCGGAGCAATCTAGCGAAGATCACAAAAAGCGACCGTTTTCGCTACTTAGGATCTATCTTGCAAGAGAACGGAGAATTAGATGGAGATCTCAACCATAGAATACGAGCTGGATGGATGAAGTGTAAGAGTGCATCCGGCGTGTTGTGTGACCGTCGTAGGCCACTGAAGCTCAAGGGAAAATTTTATAGGACGGCAATAAGGCCAGCGATGTTGTATGGCACAGAATGTTGGGCGGTGAAGCATCAACACGTACACAAAATGGGTGTAGCGGAGATGAGGATGCTTCGTGGGATGTGTGGGCACACGAGAAATGGATAAGATTGGGAATGAGGATATCCGAGGTAAAGTAGGAGTAGCCGAAATTGTAGGAAAGATGAGAGAAAATCGGCTCCGATGATTTGGACATGTGCAAAGAAGGCCGACTGACGCTCCGGTTCGAAGATGTGACTACGGGACAGAGGTTCAGGGCCAAAGGGGTAGAGGAAGACCTAGGAAAACTTTGGAAGAGACTCTAAGAAAAGACTTAGAGTACTTGGATCTAACGGAGGACATGACACAAAACCGAGCGCAATGGCGTTCTAGGATTCATATAGCCGACCCCACTTAGTGGGAAAAGGCTTTGTTGTTGTTGTTGTTGTTGTTGTTGTTGTTGTGATCTTAACATTACACCCACTTCATTAGATCGCTGTGATGCGCAACCAGATTTTGAGAACAACCAGTAAGATGTTTGTCTGATCTCTAACAGTGGCCATCTGTGCATGTAATTATATGCAGAATATATAATTGTAGTTCATTCCTAATAATTGAGAAAATCTACCTTGTAGATTTTTAGAAGATGGTTTAGATCGATGTTGGTGGAAAATGGAGGCTCTTTCTTTGATGTTTTCAGAGCAAATAATCCTGATAGGTAAAGCATACACATGCTGGTCACAAAGTACAGGTGCTGAAGAGTTTAATTATGGCTCTAGAATCGATCACATTCTTTGTGCAGGGGCATGCTTACACCAAGAGCAGGACTTGCAAAGTCATAATTTTGTAACATGCCATGTCAAGGAGTTTGACATATTGACACAATTTAAATGGTGGAAAACTAGGGAATTCACTAAGGTATAGGATACATAGATGCTTGCTTTTTGTGTGCATGCAGCCCATGCATGGATGTCATTCTTGTATTAGTTTTACTTTTGTGATTATGCAACAGTAAGTAATGTGGAAGTGCATGCATGTGGTACATATATGTAGGCGAAACATGTCTATGTGAGTGTTTTGATGTTGCCTTGACCTCTTTCCCTGCCTGCAGGTGGAAGGGAGGGCAGAACATGAAACTCGAAGGCTCCGATCATGCGCCAGTTTAGACAAGTTTACTGGAAATTCTTAGTGTTTCCCAGCATAGTACCCCATCTTTGTCTGTTAGATACATTCCAATGGTTGGTGGCCTCCAACAAACCCATGGTATGGAATTATATTCTCCCTTTTGCTGATTACCATCTTGTTTGATTTTAGATGTTTCCATATAAACATTCTCGTGAAATATGCAAGGACATAAATGATAAACCTTTTGTGCGCACTTGAAATTTGAAGGAAGCGACTGCTTCCTTGGTTCAACTAGTATTTAGTTGTCTATTGATTTTAGTTATATTAGTACTTATTGATCAAATAGATTAAGGGTTTGTTGTATGCCTTGTATTTAACGTGATTTGGGTTAGTGGAATATCATATGTGCAGCTGCCTTTTGTTTGGGACAAGTTTGGAACTTTGGTGTTCATTAATAAAAATTATATCTATGTGTATAGATGTTAAATATTTTGATTATGAGTCCAACAATAAAAGAGTGAAAACAAAAAAGATTTGAATTTGATTATATCGCTTAATTACTAATACTTCATACTGGATGCTGTATGCTCTCTTAACCTTTTCTCCTGAAGCTACTTCTTCTCTATGCCTACTCGAGGTTGACTGAACCCTTTGTCCTCCTGTGCAGTATATTTGCTAATGAAAAGACAAGCTGCGGAACAAGTTTATCCGGACAGAAATATGATTCAAGAGAGTTTCGGTGAGGGAGAAAAATGTTCGCCTGACCAATGTTGCACACCCGGTGCACCCAGCAGCAACTCCTGTTCTTTGAGCCAAAACTCCCAAGTGATCAGTTCAAAAACAAATGAGCATTCAAGCGCTTTTGCTATTGAGGCTACTTGTAACACCTTGGTAACTTTAGGTGGTGAACGTACAAAAACAATGTGCGGCAGTGAAGCTAGGAAAAAATCAAAAAGGAGTTCCCAACTCTCTTTGAGGTCATTTTTTCAGAAAAGTTCTATCAGTAGCAACAGTGTGAGCATTAATACTGATATTTCTACTAGTCAGAGAAATGTTCCAGATTCTAATCATCTCTCAAATGAAACTCCAATACCAGAAAGTCAAAGCCGCAGTCCCAAGCAGTATGAACTGAACTCTAGTGTATCAAATCAAGATCAGGATGAAGTAGATGCCTGCTCCTTGGACAAAGAGAATAATAATTTTGCGTTATTGGAGTGGCAAAGGTTACAGCAAGTCATGCAGAATAGCATACCAGTTTGCAAGCACCATAGTGAACCTTGTGTTGCTCGGGTTGTGAGCAAGCGAGTTCCTAATTTTGGACGCAGATTCTATGTCTGTGCGCGTGCTGAGGTATGTTTTTGTTAACTTTAATACTGCTGGAAATTTGTTAAAGTTTCTAATATACGATATTGGAGTAAGAGTAAAACAGAAAGAAAATGAAATAATACTCTTGCATGTAAATAAGGAAAGCGAAGTTTAAGCATGATTCAGTATTGTGATGTCTGATGAAATTATGAATTCAAGTATATGACAGTGAAGTGTGGACGAAGGACAAGTATCTATAAATGAATTGCTCCTTTCTTTGATTCTTTCCATTATTTTGTACATCTCAGATTCAATTGATTTTATAAAAGCAGAAAACATCTGATAAATTTTTTGTAGTTCCATCCATCTTGTAACTAGTTTCACTTCGGTACTTAGAGCCTAGAACTTGGGATGAACAAGTCCTCCGGCTGCGCAGTCTGTTTTACCCCATTTTGCCATTAAAGAATTTGGGCATCTGACAATTGCAAGCTTTATACAGAACTACAGATATTGTGGAGTTTATATGTACTCGAGCTAAGTTTGCTGTTGACTACTCGTGAGTAACGTTTGTCTTGTTTATGTGGAATAGCAGAGGGCAAAGCAGATGATTTATGAACTAACTAGTGGCATTCCTTTGTTCTTCCTACAGGGACCTGCATCTAATCCAGAAGCAAATTGTAGGTATTTCTAATGGGCTTCTTTGAAACCTCGAGAGAAATGACGGTGGTGATCAGTGATGCCAGGTAATAATCGATGCCATGCTTTTAGTTTCCAGCCTACCCTTCGAGACGATGTAGTGCTGGCCTTTTCGGTTTGGGAAATTTTGTAATTAAAATGATTCTTTTTGAAATATAAGTCTCAGGCATAAGCTCCTTTGTTGTATTATTTAGCTGTATAACTTTATTCATTTTCTTGTTTAGTGAATTGATCGCCTTGCTACACGAAAGAAATATGTTTCCAGAATATCAGGATCTTTAGTTTTAGGCGTACGTGACGTGTGCCGTCCATATATATATATATGAGAAGTTAAGGTGAAGAAGGTAGCTAGCATCTTTCGAAAGAGAAATTATACGTTTCCTCGGTATGTCATTTATCAACTCGTTTAAGAAGAGTCATACAGCACGCACCCAGAAGAAAAAAATGTTCCATGTATTAATTAATGTATTATTCTTTCTTATTCGTGGATAACTTCCACATAAAAATACAATCTTTGATGTCACGATCTTGTGTTTTTATAATCAATTGGGAGCCGAAATTTGAGTTTGATGTTTCTTCCAACATTTAGAAGAAAAGTATCACTAGCTAGTATTAAATGTCCTATCAACGTCGCGGACGAATGGTCGCAACCGATAACCCAACTATTCAGTAAAAAAATTGAAAGGTTAGTAAACTTCCTCCATACAAAATTGTTTGGGATGGCAAATCAACAAAGGCCAGCGATCGTTATCGATCACAAATTATGGTAAAAGACAACCTTAGAAATAATAATACGATAATGTCAAAACACATCAGCATGGATTATGACAAACCCTCACCCCCAAAGATATGTTTTACATCACTTCGAGCGTCACAGGACTAATTTCTAAGGGCATGCAAAAGTTGAATGAGAAGGTTTTTTACGGCCACAAAAAAGCAAAGATGTCCTTGTCAAATGATGGCATTAGGGATTAGGACCTTACCCAAATTGGCTTGAGCTTTCAAGGTTTTGGTCATCAGAAGAAGGAACAATTATTATTATTAATATTGGAAATTGGATAGGGATTATGCAACGGACTTGGATTCTCTGCCCTCCCATTTCGGTACCCTCTTCGTGCCCTTCTGTTTTGTGTGGTCACGGTTAAGTCACGTCAATATTTTATATTGTTTTTTATAAAAATAATAAGACGAAAAAATAATAATAATATAAAATATTGACGTGGCTTAACCGTGACCACACAAACAGGAGGGCACGGGGAGAGCACCGAATTGGGAGGGCAGAGAATCCAAGTCCTTATGCAACTCAATCTTAATTGATTAGACCTTAAAAATTTTAGGTACTCAGTTGTCTACCATGTGGGTTTAATTATGGTCTAGGCCCCATGAGACCTAGTTTGTCTGCCCTCCTCATTTCATGCCATTTCTATCCCCTCATATTTCTGTGATCACGGTTAAGCCACGTCAATATTTTATATTAATTTTTTTTTATAGAAATAATAAGACAAAAAGCAATAGGAATATAAAATGTGAACGTGATTTAACTGTGACCACATAAATATAAAGGGATAAGAAGGGTATGAGATGAAGAATGGTAAACAATCCAAGTTCGGCCTCATGAGCAGGTACAAGTAACACCCACAAGTATACTTTTTGTTTTTTTAATAGTATCAAATATTATTCATACATAATAAACTTTATTTATCTAAATTTTGCACCTTATTCCACTTTACTCTTCGAAATTCGATTTGGTTTTGGGCCCTATTAAATTGGCTGAACTAAAAAAAATGGGTGCGGGAGAGATGTGATATTTCTATGAATTGAAAGTTTAAGAGAGCTCAAAACTAGAAATGTCAAACTATAAAGTGAAACAGGACTTATAATGTGCAATTGCTAAATTTTATTCTATTATTTTCGGATGAAAGCAAAGGAGGTCATGTGACTCGTGTTATTTTGATTTAAACCATCATTTTGTTACTGGCTTGTTGTACTGTATATGTGCGATAACATGGCAAAATTGTTGGATATAAGTGTTTTTTTTTTTTCTGTCAGACCAATGTCCCGTATTCAATGAGAATGACTTATCAACACCACCAGAACGCTATCGTGGTATATTGAGCAAATAGCATGACATCCCACGTTTATGTTTTTTGCATAACTTCACATGGCTGATTTAAAACACCATTATGTTTCATGTAAGTCATTGTATTTAGTTTCAACCTCATTACAACCAGTTGTACACAATTTTCTTCACAATTTAGGGTCATTATACTCTACTCTTGTTTGGAATCGGATACCATGTACTTGGCCCTTGGACGTACGTTATATAGATATTTCAGGGTCGATGTATACTACTCATATAAATATAATCAAGCTTGAAAAGGAAGGGGAAGATAAGCAAAACAACAGACAATTGCAATAATTAAGGAGACCTACGAACCTGGTTACTACTGTTTCGACGGACCATCACCGAATAGCTGCTAGTGGACTTGGTAAGGTGGCTCTTCCTAGCCCAAAAAGCTACCAAAATTCACATGCAAATGTATATTATTTTAATCTGTGATCTCGATGATTATCGTGTTAATTATATCTTCAGAAAACAATATCCAAGTCGATGGAGAAGTGCGACTTTATCTGCCTTTGAAATTTGTATGCGGTGGGAGGAGCTTCTGACTTCTGAGGCAAGTAGTTAAAAGATCTGCACGATAAACTAGTGGTTCCAAATGACATCCCACTACACTTGCTGGGTCCTTTTCCTGCTCTAGTAAAATCATGAAAGGTTCTAGATACTTTTTTTTTGGCCAAAATACTCGAGCCATTTGCAAATGGATTTGGCCTCTTAATTTGTTGATTGCGGCTAGCATTGATTCAATATTCTAGGGTTTTATTTTTGGGCACTCAATTATAGCTAATATATGTGACGAGTGGTATATTGTTCTAATGATTATAGTCTTTATCTTCAATCTACTGTATTCTAAGTTCAAACATTTTTTTCTCTCTCTTTTAATGTAGAATATTGCTTGCATTAAGAAAATGCTTCATTTTATAAAAACTTCATGCTTGCTTGTACCTATAGGTGGTTAAATTAGATTGTAATGTCATGGTCGATCATTTGTTAAGAGAATGAATCCAAGAAGTATAAATAATCATGAGCCTTTTTTTGGATTCCATTTATAACGTGGGTGACGTCATACTGTCTCAGGCGAGGAATTAGGCAATTTTGGCTCGATTGAACAGTCGAGCTTTCTCCTTTTTACTGTAGCGTGACCGATTGGGCATGGGCTAGAGCTCATTTTGTTACTTTTGATGGATTGAATCACCCAATACCCCTAGCAATTGGGAGAGGTGGACTTGCTATTATAGTAGATGGGAAAGAGATTATGAGCCTTTATTCCATGTGGTTTATAGTACTTCTTATGCTTTGGTTTGGAGGGCACACATAAGATGCAACCACCATTACTTTCCATTGTCTTATTTTTGTTGTTATTTATTTTGGTTGGTGTATTTTATAAAAGATAATGCTTGTGTTTCTCTATGGAGAATTTAATTGTCCCCCCTATGATTAACTAATATTTATCGTCCAAACATCTTAATCGGAACTGTTCGTTCTCCTTATCATCATTTAAAGATTATATACGCTTAGAAATTATTCAATTAGCAGACATTTTAGCCACTCATATGCATAAAATGAATGGATGGTTCATCACGCGAATGACAATTGTTACCAAAATCGTTAATTGGTTTAACACGGATGGTTGACTAAACAATCTCCAAATTGAATGATTTTTTGTAGACCTGATCTTTAGATGATGATAAAGATAATGAACATTTATGATTTGATGTTATGATGTTCGAATGATAAAAGTGTTAATCGCAAGTGAGAGATAAGTAAGTCCCCAAATGCAGGGGAACACAAGCCTTGTCCTTTTATGTATATCCCTTGTCTATCGGTTCTAGAAGCCATGAGTGATCTCCTCATTCTGGCAATGTCACCTAAATTAACAACATTACATCTTGTTGGGGTTATTAAAGAGAAAGAATAAAGGATTCTCTTTACAACTGCTTTTGGATGGTTTATGCTTAAAACTTAAACATTCATACATTTTCAATGTTCAATGTACGAAAATAATATATAAGTTGTTATTATTAACTCTGAATTAGAGTTTAGTTTCAATTGGAAAACATTAATTTTATAGGAATGGTGGACAGATTAAGAGAATATAGAGGGAAAAGGTGGTAAAAATAGACATTAAATTTTTTTGAGCATAATGCTATATTTTATACTAGGGGAATGGAGAGTTTGGCTAAGCCACACAATGGGCAACCTAATTTGGTATCGAATTCGCCGTCCACGAGATTAGAAACTAAGACCTCTCACTTATAAGTAAAGAGGAATATCATCAGACCATAGTACTGAGTGGCAAAATAAACATTAAATTTAAAACTTGTTAATTTCAAAATCATGGAAGGTCTGTTTAGGTTTACTTTTCTACATCCTTTTGTTTTTCTTAAATAAATAATCTGCTTCCGCACCAAAGAACTATTTTAGTTATGTGACAAAGTATTAGGTTTAGGTGACTAAGACAGATGCTAACACAATCGTAAACAAACTAGTCGAAACTCGAGATTGATCTAATTAATAAAATTTTATTTACAAAAGAAATTTCAAACTCTCTGCTAACAATTTAATAATGACACATGACGTTACATTATTTGATATAAATAAATACAATTTACAATGAATACAATTTGATTCGATAATAATGAAACAAAACACATCACTAGATGCCTAACACATTTCAACTTTGTAGTAAAAGTAAAGGAAAAAGACCAATCTGCTAATCTAAAGAGGACACAAATGACCAATAAAACTCATCCACTACCATTTATTTTCAATTTATGACCACCAAAAATAAAGTGAAAATTACGATTATTATGTTTGAGGAGTCAGCATCAATCCCAGCCAAACTGGATAACCATTTTCTTAGCTTAACCAAACACCATATTTAACCCTAGTTATAGCTCTGGCCTGGCCCAACCCACGTCCGCATCCAAACACCCCTCAAACTCCCTCAACATATAAAGCCAAACCACCCCCACTCCTCTCCCTCTCTCCTCAACCAAATTCCACAACGCATACCAAAACGCACCGTATCATGCTTTCTGCCTCGTCCTCCACCGCATTCCTCGCCGCTCCAATTCTCTCCGCCACAGCCTCTCCTAAAACGTCGACACGTGTACGATTTCAGCCGATTCGCGCCTTCGCCACCGGCTCCGCTTACGCTTTGCCTGAGGCCGAGACGGCGTCGTATCTCCGCCCTCAAACAATGACCTCGCTGTACGAAATCCTCGGCATCCCAGCCGTCGCTACGTGTCAGGAGATTAAATCGGCGTATCGGAGACTGGCTCGGGTTTGCCACCCCGACGTGGCGGCGATCGAGCGCAAGGACACGTCGGCCGACGAGTTCATGAAGATTCACGCTGCCTACTCCACACTGTCGGATCCCGACAAACGCGCCGATTACGACCGGCAATTTATGCGGCGGAGCCGGCCGTTGTCGTCGGCGTCAAGATATTCCGGGTACTACACTCGCCGGAACTGGGAGACCGACCAGTGCTGGTAGTGAGTTGACTCTCCTGCTGACGGAACGATTCCGAAATTAAAGCAACTAATCCGCGAGATCATCGGTAATTTTGTAAATATACGAAGGGTGGCATAGCGCAATCAGAGGCGTTGATTATTTTGATCGTGATGATCTGGCCGTCCGTCTGTCGGGCACGAAAACAAGAAAAAATAAGTCGCGCCAAAATTCT